ATTTCTGTTGTTTAATAAATTACTGCTTAGTGAGGGGAGATGTACAAATGCTCAAGTTACTTTATCACAAAAAAGATTTCAATGAGCTATTGAACACATTTTATGGGGTGGGGACGGGGCCAGCAATTCTGCTCATCCCAGAGACTCAGGGTATCTGGCCATCCTCCCCAGCCTTCCCAAAATGGGAGATGGTGATAAAAATAATTATTTGAGAAATTTAATCCATGTTTAAAACAAATTAGGTACTTCATCTGGAGCAACGATTGTTGTTGTGTGCCATCAAGTCATTTTCAACCCACAGTGAACCCTTGTGACAGAGTAGACTGCTCCATAGGTGCAGTGGTTAAGTGGTTGGTTGCTAAGCAAAAGGCTGGCAGTTAGAACTCACCAGTGGCTCCACGGGAGAAAAGACCTGGTGATCTGCTCCTGTAAAGATCATAGCCTCGGAAATCCTATGGGGCAGTTCTGTCATATAGTGTTGCTATGAATCTGAGTCAACTCGATACAACCACAATCTTTATGGGAGTAAATTGCCAGGTTTATCTCCCATTGAGCCACTGGGTGGATGTGAATTGTCAACCTTTTGATTAGTAGCTGAATGCTTAATCATTTGTGCCACTAGGGCTCCTTTGAATGAAAATCAGCTCTAAATAAAAAAGAAATAATTATCCAAATTATCCGAAGATCCCCTCCCAAGCAACCTGAGTATTTGTGGAGTATGGGGATGGTGGTGGTGTTGTTATGTGCCATGGAGTAGGACCTGACTCATAGCAACCCCTCCTTGGGTTTCTGAGGCGGTATCACTGCAGAAGTAGATTGCCCAACCCCATTCAGTGTGTACTGGCAGCATTTCTTCCAATTAAAAAAAAAACGTATTAAACTTCAGATGTGTCAAGCATTGCCTCTTAGGAGTTTGCATTAATTAAATATAGAAAGCTTTTACAATTCAACATGCCAATGTGTATGCAAACCAGGGCCTGATGAACCAGAAAAACACCTGCTTATCTTATTACAATGAGAAAACCTCAGAAATGTTTGCCCATCTTTCTGAAAACAGCATGCAAATCTGGTGACAAAGCTCTTCAAGGGCTCTCAGTCCGTTAGCAACCCCGTGGGATTTCACAGAAATCAAGGAGAGGGAATCACGGAGAAGGGAGAGGAAAGGGACAGAGGTAAGGTGACTTGGGACAGCTTATGCCAGTGTTACTTTCTCTAAGAGCTTGTTACTCTTTTACAAGAGTGGGCCCAAGTCTTTTTATTAAATGGTGCTAGAAGAACTGCATATACATCTGTTAGGGGTTGAATTGTGTCCCCCCAAAAGCTATGTTGTTGAAGTCCTTACCTCCAGTACCTGTGATTGTGACATTATTTGAAAATAGGGTTTTTGCAGATGAAAATAAGTTAACATGAGGTCATACTGGAGTAGGTTGGGCCCTAGTGCAGTATGACTGGTGTTTCTATTAAGAGAAGAGACACACAGTGAAGATGGTCATGCAAGGATGGGAGCAGACTGGAGCCATGCTGTCACAAACCATGAATGCCTGGGCCACCAGAAGCTCCATGGGACAAGGAAGGATCTTCCCCTTCCGCCTTTGGAGGGAGCATGTCTGTGCCAACCCCTTGATTTTGGATTTCCAGCCTCCAGAACTGGGAGAAAAAAAAATTTCTGTTGTTTTAGAAAAGAGAGAAAAGGAGGCAGAATCCATAGTTGGTTAAGTCTTAGTGCTCAGGCTCTGGATTCATATAGCTTATGACCAAAACCAGATTCCCTTCTCTGAAAAATGAGACTCACTGCCATCTGGTTGTGGTATTAAGTGTGGGACCACACACTGGGGTGGAGTCTAGGAAAGAGAGGGAAGAGGGAACATTTTTAAAATAGTGTGGTCAATTCTGCTCACTCCTACTCAATGCAAACATGCCTTTTGCAGTCTCATTTTCCAAGGGTCTCTCTTGCATGTGCACCTCACCTTCTTGAGTGTACTTCTAGTGTTTAAAGAACTTTGTTTGTTTATTTGTTTTGTTTTGGTTTGGTTTTTCTATGTGGTCCATAATCCTAAACGTTTTTATCTGCTGTTTAGCTGATGAAACCATGATCTGTTCCGGACCTAGAGGATAATCTAATTGGTTTGGGCTTACTGAAAGAAGATAATTGCCCAACATCTGAACATGGTAGCTGAAGGAAAGTTAAGCTCTAACATGACCCCTTCCTAACTCTTTTTTTTTTTTTTTTTGGAGTATAACAACTCCACATTTACCCCTTAAATCCTGATTTTCCTCTGTGACCACAGAAAAGTTACAACCTCTCTGGGCCTCAGTTTCTTTATTTATAAAAAGGAAGATGGATTTAAGAGGCTCTTTCAGCTCTAAAATTCAGAATTCTCCAAAACTGAAAATCCATCAAGAGATCCATCTCCCCAGTTGCCCTAAGAGATTCTTCATAAGTGGTCCACAAGCTCCTAGAGGAGCCATAGACCCAGAAGTCAGAGTTCAAAGCTTACCAGAATAGCAAGGAATGCACTCAAAGAAAATTAAGAAACACTGCCCTAAAATGTTAGCTATGTTGCTTTTCAATAGGGAGTTCTGGAAAATGCTCTGGCAATTCCAAAAGATCTGAGGGAGGAACAAGGATGACTAAGGTGGTTAGACCCTCTACTCAGAGTAGAGGGTCAACAGACTAGATAGCAGGGGAATCTCTGCTCCTGGGTTAGCCCATCACTTTCCCAGCTCCTAGTGGCATCAGGAAGGCAGAATATACAAGAATTCAGAACAATCAATTCTCAGTGGCCCCACAAAGCTCCCAGACACTGGCACGAGCTAGGACACACACGGGGCTAACAGTGCTTCAGATTCCCACCACAAAACATACTAGGACTGTTTTTCCCTTGCCTGATCTCAGACCTTAAGGAGCTCTGGTGGTATAGTGGTTAAAACATTTGGCTGCTAACCAAAGGTCAGTAGTTCGAACCTGCTAGCCACTCTGCGGGAAAAAGATAGACAGTCTGCTTCTGTAAAGATTTACAGCCTTAGAAACCCTATGGGGTGGTTCCATTCTGTTCTACAGGGTCATTATAAGTTGGAATTGACTTAATGGCAATGGGTTTGCTTTTAGTTTTTTAAGCACAGATCTCAACATGTCTCAAAATATCCTAGATTTCCCTGGTTTGATGGGGATACACCAGCTACCCAGAGATCAAGGTGCCAGAAATTTGGAAAAGGACATGGAAGGAATAAGCAAATTCATGGGTGGGTGAGGGAAAGGACTTTTGTTTATCTTCAGAAGTTTTAGTTTAGAGGATTAATTTCTGAGTAGCAGGCTGCAACCTCTGAAATGCCAGGAATTCAATAAATAAAGAAGCCAATGAGTGCCCATGTGTCTTATATTAAAAACAGATTCCAAGGCCTTGATCAATAGACTAGATAGCAAAAGGGAAAGAAAGTCTGTGTTCTGTCTGTAATGAACAGCTGCTTTATTAAAAACAACCTTGGTCAGACTCCCAGCAATGTTAAGTCTTTTTTAAGGAATAGCCTATTAAGCTTAATAAAAGAAAAAAAAAAAGTCACAGGGGGATTGAACTTCTATACACCCACAAATCAGGTTGAAAGGCATACTCCTTTCCTTGAAGCAAGGGTTTGCATCTTTGATCCAGCTGCAAGAAGTACCATCTCTCAGCAGAACAGGTTGGGTAGCAAGCCTGGAAAGGGCTGGCTGATATGTGATGAGGGGTGAAGCCTAATCCTGTAGAACCTGGGTTTGGAGGAGGATGAAGCCATGCAGGAAGCTCGGGATTTGATTAGAGCATGCCACCCGCACTGTTGCAAATTCAGAAGTATTTTAACCCGTCAGCAAGTTGGGCTTACTGGAATATGCATTTACTTTGACAGTCCTTAAAGTTAAGTGTGTTTTAGAGGGCGTTACACATTTATCTATGTAAATTCTCTTTGCTGTGATGACTAGGGATTATTTTTCCCTCTCACTTGTTGCTCAGTTGTACAGAGCCCTGGTAAAAAGAAAACACTGCGGTGGTCGTCTTAAAATGCTCTAAAGAAGTAAGGCCTCAGAAGGAAGATGGGAAAATCTACTTCTGTAGTGATACTGCCTCAGAAACCCAAGGAGGGGTCACTATGAGTTGGGTCTGACTTGATGGCACATACCAACAACAACAATAACAAAGAAGTAAGGGGAGAAATATAGGTGAACATCTTTAACTGCCTGATCAGAATGGCTGGGTAGGTAAGAGTGGTAAAAAGGTATTTGGGAAAACATGCCTTAGGCAGTAGGCCACCAGAGCTCCCAAAGTTAAATCAGGAAATAAATAAATAAAAGAGTTTATCCCTGCTAAACTGGAAAAGAGGCAAGATGCTACTGTTGAATGGTGCCTATGACAGAACCTTAAGTTTGATTGTATAAATTTTAATATTGAGAACACTGAGTATTAGATTAAGAGAAAGTAACAAAAGCATCCAAAAAGCCAGATATTAGGAGTTTGGACAGCTATTGGGAACTTATCACTGTTTTGAGATCATATATGATATGGCTCCTTTGCTGGGTCATCTTGATTCTTACCAAACCAAACCAAACTCACTGCCGTAGAGTTTATTCTGACTCGTAGTGACCCCCTTTGGGTTTCTGAGGCAGTAAATCTTTATGGAAGTAGATTGCCCAGTCGTCCCCCACCACCACCTCCAGAGTATGGCTCTTACCAGGAGGTGGGAAAGTCAAAGGAGGGAGTTCAGGAACTTGGCTGACAGGTGTTCAGAAATCTTCCAGCCCCAGATATAAAAAAAGCTCAAGTTACCCTCACGGGACACTGAGCAAACAACCAAATGCCTGCAATGGTTGTTGGACCTTGGTTCCTTAAATCTTCTCAGACCTCACTGGCTCCTTTGCTACAATTTATGCTGGAGACCTTCCTATGCTTCCTCTTTAGCATTTACAGAGCTCCAGAGACCTGAGGGAAATTTCCCTGGTGACATTTAGGAAATTCAGGTCACATACATACCTCATCTCCATGCATATTTGCTACATATTTGAACTCCGGAATCCCAATTCGGTGTTGCTTTGGAAACCGTCCCACAACGAGAACCCACAGGTTTCTACCTTTACAAGGAAGATAAAGATAGAAAAATCAGTTGTCTCTTAAAATGACAAATGAGCTCCTGAGAGAATGAAACTGAGAAACAAAGGAAGCCATTTCTTCCACCTGATTAATATCTCATGGGGGCTTAAGTTCACAGGAGTAGCACCTCTGTGCTTTCAATGTTCTTAGTTTACTACCAGCCAAAATCTTTTCAATTTAATGCAAATATTTAGCTTTTTGTTGTTGTTGTTGTTATGTGCCGTGGAGTCGGACCCGACTCATAGCGACCCCTCCTTGGGTTTCCGAGGCAGTATGACTACTACAACCTGATTGCCCCATCTTCCTTCTGAGGAGTGGCCGGTGGATTTGAACTGCCAGCCTTCTGGTTAGCAGTCAAGTGCCTTAGCCACTATGCTACCAGAGCTCCCATTTAGCTTACTATTTTAGATTTTTTTTTTTTTTTTTACATTGAAGACTTATAGGCTATATCGAGCTTATTTTTCTAAAATGTTTATAGACTTTGCTACGAGATTCTAAGACATTATAGAAATGATCTTGCTAATTCATACAATTATACAAAGTTACGTGACAACTGATGGTTGCCTGAGAGGGTGTCACAACTCACAGTGCAAGAAAAAAACAATAAAAGCAACAACAATAAAACATGTAACTCAGAAGGGAGGTTGTTTTAAAGGAGGAAAACTTGAAGCTTGTATTCAAATACTAATGGGATGGATACTGCCCCTTGTTTTCACTCTGAGGTCTGTGACGGTTAGCAGGTAAACTGGGAACTACAACCGTTCCAATTATGCCCTAAGGAAAAAAAAAGTTCCAGCTCTGCCACAGCCTTTGTTGATTTGGGCAAGAAAATGCGGAGATAAAGGGCATTGAAGATTTGCTATTACAGGCATTGCTCTTGCCAGTCTAGTTCACCTTATCTCAGGTAATTCCTTGTCATGACTCACTAGGTAGATTATTACCCCAATTCACAAATTATTAACAAGTTTTACAAATGAGAAAACTGACCTTTGAAAATATTAAGTCAATTGCTTATGATCACACAGCCAATGAGAAGCTGTGATTTGTGCCTCAGCGTTAAGAATCAAATCTATTTGAGGTTCAGTTTTGGTGTTTCTTCCAGTAATGAAAATTGCCCTTCTCTCAAGAGGCTTGGCTTTCTAATCAGTAAAATGAAGAGGTCCTTTCAAACAATAACAAAGAAGTAAGGGGAGAAATATAGGT